GTGATGTAGTTAGTGCATCAAGCAGGAGGTTTATGGGTCTAAATAAACCTTATGTCTACTAATTTTTAAATTGTACTATAGAAAAACAGCTCAGAAATGCATTATTTCCTTGCCAAAAAGTAACTACTCACCCAGTGTAATGTAGGTTACTCAAGAAAACTAAAGCGTTGCTGAAACTCATGCAAGAGGGCCTGTGTTTCACCGCTGTATGTGACTTTCTCAGAATCCTGCAAGAGGCTGAAGCAGCTCTGTTATTTTTTTCAACCTGTCTTCTACAAAATCTGGTCATTTGAGAGACTGGCAATCTAGTTTGTCATAAAACAGTGTGTGGTACCCCTGAAGAACTTCCAGCATAAAGAGTTTTCAGTAGGAGAAGATGTTGCTGTTTTTCATTGTTGTTCAGTTGGTTGGGTTTTTCGTTTGTTTTATTATAAAGGATAATAGAGCTCATACTGTGTGTTGGTTTTGGAACCTGAGCTAGAGAAATCTTACTGCCTTTTTCATTGTGATATTAGCTAATCATGCCTTGTCATAAGGCTATTACAAATAGAGTTGCAGGATCCTTGTAGATAAAAGCGTGTGAAAGACTGTTTTATCGAGGTAATTTAGTTTGCAGGAATTGGATCTGAGCCACTTCCTACAGACTCATTTGGATGCTTTGGTGTAAAATCCAGTAAGGTGGAAAGCTCTTATACCTACAGATCTTTGAGTGATTTGATGAAGTAATGGAAGAGCTAGTGGGAGGAGAACAGTAGTCCTGCTGAGCCCCAGGCATTGTGCCGGAAGGCTGTCTAGTTACTAGTACCTGGCTACTCCTTTCTGCTCATCTTCAGAGATAAAAGAAAGATGTGACTTTGGATGAGCAGGGATCATAATATTTTAACAGATATCTGTAAAAATAATATTGTCTGCATTGTGGATGTTTCTGAAAAAAGCAGAGGTGTAGAAACTGCACGTATTAACATGTATAGGCAGGGGGATATATATGGTACAGTAAAGATGTTTGGCATGGGGAGCTGTTTTCTTGCTTTGGTTGTTTTTCCCCACCTTCCATCCCTGGGCATGCATTTTCCCTTCTGATTCTAAACCCTGAGTTCTGTCAGCAGCTGTGTTGTTCAACTCAGTGCTTCTGGCTGTAACTCCTTGCAAAAAGGAAAGAGGAATTAGTTCCATTGTAATCTGAGGCAGCAAACTCAAGGAATGTCTTTTTATTCTGCGTCCTTTGGCAATGTTTTTAGCTAAAATCTAATCCCTTCTGAGGGATGCTTTCTGAAATTAGTGCATTTACATTGTATGGAGGTGAAAATGTGCTAGGGTAATATAATTTTTCTTAAAGGAATTGCAAAAACTCGATGTCTGAAGTAGTAGGAAAAGCCCAAGAAGAGAGAATACATCAGCGTTGGGTAATTGTACTTACCATGGTGCCATCAGGTAGGCACACTACAGGTGCCTTGTCTGTAGTAAAATAGGAGTGCTTCTGTTGGCCTTACACTAAAAGAAAGAAATTTGTTTCCATCTGTGGGACAGGAAGGGCAGTTCTAAGATCTAGTACAAAACCTAACTGCTCTGCTAAGCTCTTTGCAATTAACAGGATACCTTCCAGTTGAAAAATCAGATCCTTTCAGCTACTGGAGAGTTTGGATTAACTTCAGTATAAATAGTTTCTTTCAATTTCTGTGGACAAGATAGTGAATTCTGTCAGCAAGAAATGATGGGTTTACTTTGCACTGACACTGCATGTTGTAAAGAGACTAAATCCTTCTCCTGAGAAAAGGAATGTCAGTAAGCAGCTGGTAAGAGCTGTGGCTGTGCCCTCTCTTGATCTCTCTCCTCCTAAGCCTTTGAAATAAGATTGTTGCTTCACAGCAAATAGTATCTGGGACACAGCATTGCAACCTGACATTTGCTTTACAAGGGTATTTCTTGTGTTAGAATAATATTGCTTGCTCCATGGATACTGTTTCAGAAGTTCTTACTTAATTTAGAGAGCTTCATGAGCAGCTTTAGTATTTCTATCAAAATAATACTGAGTACCAGATCACAGTGGTGACAAGGAAGTGGTTCTTTATGTACCCATAATAAGTACTTTTTATTTGTTATCTTAGTATTCAGTCTCTATTGTAGCACTGTTATTCCCAGTACTAAAGTAACTTTAAATTCACACTGGTGTGGCTGTTTCTTTTGTTACTATTAACAGATGTTTGTTTATTCTTGTGATATGCTTGTATTTCAGTAACAGATACTTTTGCACATGTTTACACTTCTGTCATGTGTTTGTTCCCAGTAGAAATAGACCAACCTATTTTTAATTTTTTTTTTTTTTTTTTTTTTTACAAACAAGGTTTGTTAAGAATTCTTTATTGAAAACTAGGAGGAAATCTATACCTTGCATTTTAGGTTAGTATAGCAAGCTTAGTAAACTATGAAACACAGATGACTGTTCTGTGCCTTCTGAAGGACATTATGCAGAACTCCTTTAAGATACCCACCTCAGTGTCTGTATTCATAGTCCTGTTGGAGGAGACAAAACAAAGATAGAAAAGTCTAATACTGGGGAAAGTAGAGAAGAGAATCTTGGCAGTTAAAATAAGTAGCATTGCCAGCTAGTGTGTTTTGAAATGTTGCCCGCAATGGTCAAGCCGGTCCAATGATGAATGCTTTATTTTCATGAAGACTAGAACACCATTCATTCCAGTATTCTAGCTTTAAGAAAGAAATCCCTAGATGGATGTTTGATTTTAAAGGTTTGCTTTCCTTTAAGTGCTTTTAGGCTTTGCTTTTTTTTTTTTTTTTTTCTCTGTTGTATTTAGGGACATCTTTGTAGCTGCTGTTTACCACAGAGAAGTCAGTTGCTGGAGTGGAAACGGCTGTTGCATCTTGAATTACACAGTATTTATGAAATGACAGGGTGAGCTGTGGTAAGCAGCTGAAACATGCTTAGATCAGTGGATATTTAATTTCCTGTATAGCACAATATATTGCTGCACAGTGTAAAGACATTAGTTTCCTAAGATTCAGACAAAACATGTTCCTATGTTTCATTTCTTATGTTCATTGTGACACATAATTATCATAAACAAGCAGATGCTGAGAGAAGAGATGCCTGTAGATTATTTTCTCCTAGTTTTTTAAATTCATCGCCCACATTAATCTGAAATAGCTCAGTTGCTTGTGGGGCTGACTGAGGGGTTGCTGAAGCTGGAAAGATGAAGGGGTTGATGAGGTATTACTTCCTGTATTACTGGTTTGTTTGTGTTCTGAGGTTTAAAACATGTTACTCTCTTTGTAATTGTTAATGTAGCTAGTGAGCAGGAAAGATTTTTTTGTTAAAATGAAAATAAGTCACAAAATAATAGAGCTTTTAAATATATGTAAGTAGGACACGTGACCTAATGAGAGCCCGGAATACTCTGTGTTAGTATGTAAGACATAGCAAAATGAGCACTTTCTGCCCTAGGCAGTTTGTGAATTAGGTATAAGGCAAAATTTTCACCTATGATAAAAATTACATTTTACAATATGTGACATTTTCTAAGTTTTCTGTGAACAGGAACTACCTAATCTTCCTTCCTATTCTTTTTACACATATGGTATTTCACAGAGGACTGGCAGGTCATATGTTCATGCTAAATATATTGAGCTCTGGCTAATCTTTGAGCACTAGGATACAGGTGTTCCTTCTTTTTTTGTGCTGTTACTTGACAGAGCCTTGGATACTAGATCGGTGTTTGCTAGAATGAGATATCACTAGAATCAGTAAAATCAGAAAATCAGCAGAATTAATCTTTCCAATATATGAATTGCTTTTAGACAGGTAATGTTTTACTTAACACCTTTTTTGAGCACTCAGATTTTGAGATCCATTGGTGAGTTTGAATTGGATACTCCTTTTTACTTGAAATGTTTCTATTGCTTGTTTGACCACCCCAGTGAGAATAAATGTGCTAAGATAGTTTAAAAATTTACACCCTGCTTAATTTGATCTTTTGTTTATATATGGCTGTTTTGTCTTGGCTTTTGAGCTATGCTTTTGTAGGCATTCACTAGAATATTTGGATACAGCACATAAAGGGTGGGATTAACACTTACTAATTCAGTTAACAATTGGAAGTAACATTGTCGAAACATTTGTACATTCTTTACCCAGATTGTGGGTGGGACTGAGACAATTTTTATAATTTCCTGGTATTCAGCTTCTAAACCTTTAGAAACGTTGATGCGTTTCATGTCCTTTGACTCTTCTTTTCCCAGCTCCATTAGAAAACTATAATATAATACTGTTAGCATGATAAGCAAGCTTTAGAGAGGGAAACTAGGTTTATGAATGTTTGACTTGCATCTCTCAAGAAAAGCACTTGTTTATTGCCTTTAAAGTATACTGGTTTGTTGAATAAGCCATGCCCAGACTGGCACAAAACCATGTGAAATGGAATAAAGTAGAAATGGTCTGTGTGCTCATTGCAGCCCATGCTAGAATTGTAAGATTAAATCTGCTATGTTAGTGAGGCACAGACGGGAAAAGGGCTTTTTAAGTTCAGAAGTAAGGTCTCCTAAGGATACCGTTGTCTATAGCATCATAGTTGCATGTTGCTTGGCTTTTAAAGTCTTTGAGCTGTTAAACACCTTTTTCTTGTGTAGTGCAGATCAGCCAATAATCTGCATTGAGATGTGATCTCTGAATTATACTCACAGTGTTAGTCCAGGCCTACTTCTTCTGTGCATGTACCTATATGGTGCTTAAATGTTACAGACAGGTAGTGTGAAACACTACTTAGTTATGCCCCTCAAGTTACATATGGGTGTTAGGAGCAGTTATGCTGGATACTGCATCAAAGCCCTCTTTTTTTTAAAAAAAAAGATGGGAATTTGGTGGGCTCAGACCTGTGCGCTACAAATAATAATTAGAGCTGCAAGACAAATTTGTGTCTGATTACTGTGTGAATGGAATTGGTTATTTAAAATTGTTTATTGGCTGGTTTTTCTTTTCTGCTTGTTTACAGGTTGCATGGCCGATACTATGAAATGGCACCAAACGTTGTGCCCATGGACTATACAAAGGACCCAGATGTTAAACTACCTATGCAGCTTATAATAAACATGCCTGAGCTAAAGGTATCACTTCTGACTGCTTACAAACTGTATCTTCTGAAATTATGTAGCTCATCTGACAGAGGTCTTGTCAAGCAAGTTTGATATCCTGAAGCAATGTGGCATGCTGAGGTCTTCCCCTTCCTGTTACTGTTCAAGGGCAAAACCCATCCTAGAAACTGGGAAATATTTAGGTGGATGTTTTTGTTGTGGAGATAGTTGGGATAGATGTTAGAGGAAACGAGTAGGAAATAAAATTAAGTTTAGCAATCTTTCCACTTTGTATATATTGATCCTTTAGAAGTGAGCGGGATCTCTGTTTGAAGAACTGGTTAGAAATCAGAAGTTCTTATCTCAGTGTGTTGATAGGAAATTTCCCAGATAGGAAATTTGCTGATCAAAAGAAAATATTTTCTCCCTTTTTTCTCAGCTGCAAGAGCACAATAACTACTATTTTTCTTAATTATCAGGTTTAATTTTTCATGGAGTCATTACATGATAAGAAGTGGAGAGACAGTCCACATAACTACAAGTTGTAGAAGCAGTAGGCATAATGCAATTAGTGCAAAAAAAATTGAGACAGTATTTGGTTTTTAATATTTTATAAGTTCAGCAATTGAGTATGGTTTTAACAGGACAAATACGCATTGTTAGCATATACGTTTTTTAAACAGTTCATTGCATTATGTTGTCTGTGGTCTCATGGTCTATTTTTCCTTTTCATGTATTCAAGTTAGTTGACATCTTTAACTTAGTATCATGTAGAACAACTATCGCATGGAGTATTACTAAAATTTTTAAGAGAAATGACATAAAAAACTTGTAATTGATGGCCTTGCACTTCATCTTTATGATTTAGAAATTTTTCCTTAATGTTATAAGATACTGAATATTTGGGAAGAAAGGTACAAGCGTGAGCAGTGCTTTATAAATCCGGTTGGAGAGGAAGTTAAGTCAACATAACGTGAAAGACATTTGAATTACATTTCAAGTTGAAGTTCAGAAAACTCCTTGTTCCTTTAGTACCACACTTACTACATGCTTGATTCCGGGACAATACCATTTATAATATACCAGTAATCATGTATTATTGACCAAGCACATTTGACTCTAAGGAGTATTTGTTAAAAAGTGTTTGACCAGCATTCCACATAAATGGAAACATTATTGATTAAACACATATGAACATTTAATTCAATAGAAGACCTTTGAAAAATTTTCATCCTTCAGTTATGACTCTGATTTACCAAATACCTATGTACATCTTAGAAATTTGGGTTTCTGAAGAAACTGAGAAATTATTTAGGATTCTTTTTCACACAAAGCATGGGATTTTTCAGCAAAATCCTAGTATATGGTTATACTCTTTCTAATGATGAGTTGTCTCTGTAATAAAGTAGATGAAGAAGAAGCTTTAATTTAAAATGACACATAAATAATAAAGACATTATAAATTTTAATATTCGATAAGTAAAAAAATGCAAGGAAAACTTTAGGCATCATTAATTCTATCATAAAAGCCATAAATGGCACTGTCATCAACATAGCATATCTACATTGAGTTATTAAACATACTAATAGTTAAGGATTTTGGTAGGACTGTTTTGCTAGTTACCTTCCTTAACAAAATTGCGTAGTATAGGAATAAAACTAGAATATACTTCACTATTGTTTAAGTAGTCACAGAACTGAAACCTGTGATGTGCTACAACTTGTTCCTAGAACTTAAAAAATGGTTCTTTCATCAGCTGGTTGAAAGTTCTTCAGCCTTTAAACTCCTAAAACTGGATAACCCAATCCTAATTAGAATCCAGTTCCATGTTAGTTTCCTATCAGCAGTGTGCATGTTCCAAGTATGTGTCCTTGACTACCCCAGGTATGCGTGTAGTTCCCTCCTCTGCAGCTTGCAAAGTTGACCTCCCTAGCTCACCTCAGATAAAATGAATGACATTTAAATCATGCAGCTATTGTAGTTTAAAAAAAAAAAAAAAAAATCTATTTTTTGCCCATTATGTTACACAGTGTGAAGTAGGAACAGAATATGAAAGTAGTGTAATTCAAGGTTTGTTTATATAAGAACTTTTAGTATCAGCAGCATTCAAGAAAACATTACTCTTCAACAATATTATGTGTTTAAATGTATTGAAATGTCTATGAAGGAGCCTAAATTATGTTCTTGTATACTTAATGGTGAAAGAAGTGCATCTAGACGTTTCCATGGAATTTTAAAATGGGTGGTATAAAGATCGTGCTGAAAAGTTCTTTTCAGTTCGTTCATTTGTGTAATATATCTTATTATATGTTAACAATTCAGATATTAATATTTCACAGAAGTTTTGTATAACACAAATGTTTGTATTGTTTTTCCTTATACAAATAAGGAAATCAGGCAACAGGCAAAGTTAATAATACTTTGCAAAAATGCTCTGTATTTTAGTTAGCTTAAATTGAGTCCAATTTGGAGATAGCAACAAAGATTTCAAACTTAATTATCTAAAATTAGATTTAAGACATAGTTAGGCATCAAAATCTGTAGTGTGTGAGAAGTTACTAGCACAGGCAGACCTAATTAGGCCTTTAGGCTGTATTCTGAAGTATAGTGTTAGATTATTCAATGGAGCTAAAGTTAGGGATTGGAATGCTTTTGCTCTATATCATCTTTGTTTTACCTACAAGATTATGGGATCAGATGAATGATACCAACAGGTGAATAGAGAACAATTATGCACTACTTTTCACAAGGACGAGGAAGTATTGCATGAAATTACAGACAGACAGCTGGCATAACCTGTGAATATATTGAGGAGGTCATTGGCACAAGACATGATGGCAAAGACAACAGTGGTCTTCAAAAACTAGTTAGGTGCTTCTGTAGAGCAGAATTCCACAGATTGCTATGAAGTTTTATGATCTGGATGTAATATCTGACTCCGTCTCTAAAATGCTCATTGCACTAATCCCAGAATATACTATAGGAAGAATCACTGCGTTTATCTCCCCCTTTTACATTTTTGCTTTATCTGCTACTGGTTCTAGGTAGAGTTAGAGTGGTGGGCTGGATGGACTGATAATTATGACAATTCCCATATTATAGTTGGTGTTTTTATCCCCTTAGAAGCAATCCCTAGATCTTCTGGATTTAGTCTTAATGCCCTAGTGAGATTTGTCTGAGATAATTTAATCAAAGGACTCTTAAGGAACAGCTCATTTTATGAAAACTTTAGAGATGGGAGACTACTATATTTACAGGAGAGCCTGGTGCTTAAGCTGAGATATAAACCAGAAATTTTATACTGGACCATGATTAGATTTTGAGATACAGGAGCACATCTCACAACTTTAGCAAACTTAGGTGGTAATGATAATAGACTTCCTAATAGACTTCCGTAAGTAAAGTGGAGCATAATCTATCTTTTTGTACCACATCAAGTCTGTGAGGCTTTCTGACCCTGCTTTAGAAGATATCTCCAGGGTAAGGGAACTTGATTTTATGAAAATAGCAGGACAAAATTATATTATTATAACTCTTTCCCAAATCTCATAAGGCTGTAGAAGAACCTTAGAAATATTGCTGTGAAACCACTCATTTTATTTCAGGAATTCTAGCAGTCTGTAGAGAAAGTGATTTCAATAGCTAGGGATCTTGTTTCCAGCAAAGTATTAGTTAGAGACTTGGTCTTCCTCCATAAGTCTTTCAAAACATTGCCACTAAAAGGTACTAGAATGCCACCTAGAATCTCAGTTATAAACTGGGGTCAGTCTCGGTTGTGGAGCATTTTGTGATTACCTGTGCTGTTGGGGATGAGGGGAAGAGCATTTCCTCCACAGTTCATTTCCCAATCAATTTAGGTAGTAACTCCAGCTCATACACTAAGAAAAAAATAACTTAAACCTTTGCAGCTCGACCAGACTGCTAAATAAATTATGGTGTTTTCTTTCTTCAGTAAATTTTCATCAAGGTGAAGACAAGCCAACATTTAAATCTAAAAAATACAAATAAATGAACTAAATTTCTATTGAATTCTAATAAAATTAGTGATAATTTCAATGCACCTGGCTTTTTTCAAATACACATTACATTTCTAGTTACTGGCAATGTTGAGCTCAATACCGCTGCAGATTCTGACAAATGGATAGAATCAATAATGCACTTCTCTAAATTACATTCTACTACTATAAAGAAAGATCTTTACCTCATGCATTAATGTTTTGAGCCAGGATTTTTGTGTTTCAAAGGAAAAAAAAATGCTGGTGGTCACTCACTTTAATTGGTAATGCATTATTCACTAACTCATGATTCTTAAAAGTTGAAAGTCAGGACAAGAAATAAATAAATTAAGAAGGGGCATATACTTAAAGTTGATTAGGTCTACCATTACACTGAAGTTAACAGAGCTCATTTACTCCACCTCCTTCATTGCAGTCTCCGTTCTCTGGACAATCTTGGTTACACAGGCAGCAGCCTAATAAATTAACTTTAGGGCGTATGGGCACCTGTGCGATTGCAGCAATTAATATTGCAAAATTGCAGCAATGATACGGGCTGTTCATTATGAGACCATGTAGAAAGCGAAAGTGGTTTTATTTCAAAACAAAACTGATTCCACTTGCATTATCGCTGTCATTTGTACAGAGCTAGATGTGGGAATGTAACCTGATGACAGAGAGTTTGTATGATCTGTAGAAGTGGGTGGGTGGCCATCTTCTTTGTGACACATGCATCCCTAATTGTTAGAACCTTCAAATTAATGTGTGGCCCGTCTCTGGTTATTGTAGTGTAGAGCAATCCCTCAGTCAGGAGTTGGTCGTAAAAAGACTTCCTGGAGGGGAACCATTTTTGTTTCATTCACTTTACAGTCTGTTGCTTTCCTTTTTTTGGCTCACGCAGTAACCTCATTGATCCTGGCAGGCCTTGTCATTAGCTGCAGCTGTGAGTAAGGTAGTTCATAAATCCACACACTCTGAAAGAGAATGACCAGCAGGCACAGGAATCAGTCAGGAGCAAGGACGGACACACAGGTAGC